AGAGGTGGCTATGATGGCAGTTTCAGGGGTGGTAAAAAACAAAAGCATCACTTTGTGGGTCTTTGAGTCCCCTGCCCCCTCAGCAGTAGGGTTCTCACAGGGGCCTCAGTTGCCTCTCCCTGGCCCTGGGTGGTTGCTATTCACAGCACAGCCTATTGTCTAGGATGCATGGAGGGTAGTGTGGTGTGGGCTGCTCCACCAGGTCCACACGGTTCCTATGTGGGGACACCTCCCTCCGTACCTAGAGACTGTTCTGCACACCAACCTGTCCTCACTTCCACACGGTTGCCCTTCTCAGTTTCTTGTGAGGAACTCAGAAGAAAGGAGTGGCCCAGGCCAGTGCCTAGCAGTTCTTCACATTCTCCAGGAGGTCTGGACAGGTTAGTAGGATTCACATGTGAGGAGCCACGAAGGAAAATTCAGATCTAACCTGGGAGAGTCAGACCCATCTGTCAGTGGTCAGGAGGGGGAGTCAGCAATGGAGGGCTTCTGGAGAACTGGCCGTGTCTTCACTCCATCAGTGGCCAGGAGGTCTTCTGTGCTGGGCCATGGTGTATTCAGAGGAGCCAGGGCCCTTGAGTGCAGCTCCAGTGTCATGGTAATGGGACCAGATAGCGGGAGAAGGGGTGGACCCAGCACTGGAGGGAGCACAGGGCTTGTCGGGGGTCTGTGTGGCCCAGTTGCTACCAGAGAGAACCACATAGAGTCCAAGGTGTGGGGAGTTGCAAGGTGTAGGATCTGGCTCCTGGCCACTTGGGACAGGCCCCAGCTGTGCCTCTGGGCTAGGCCTGAGGGCGATTTCCTATGCTCTCACACTTGGTGTACAGGTGGCACTTTGATCTGGTCCTTTCTTGGTTCTTTGGACCTCAATTGTTGGGTCACCTGGCAAAGACAATCAGGAGCCAGCTCTTCCCTGGAGCCAGGAAGTACAGCCCAAGACAAGGTCGTACAGCAGATAAGAATCTATTTATTTGGCAAATCAGATTAATGAACTCATTTTTTCCAATCAATTGTGCTAGTTTCACACATGTACAAGTAACAAGTATGTCTCAGATTTTCTAGCAGTGCAAATAAGGTCACATTTATGCCCAAACACCTCCAAGTTCCACTGGCTTTAGTAGCAGGAATTTCAACCTTTTCCAAAGCTAAGTTCAAGGTTTCCCAACTCACTAGCTGCCACTTGCTGCAGGGCTGGGCCCTCAGAGGCATCTGTACCCTAACCCTGACCCTGACTCTCTGCCCCTTATTTGCCTGCTGGGTCCAAGTGCTGGCCCAGGGCTGGGCTCAGACCCAGCAAGTAGACCCCCTGCAGAACAGCCTGGCCTGCAGTGCTGGGCCTGTGCCCACTCTTGAGGACCCTGAGGAGTCCTCTGTGACTTGCAGGCCAGGATGAGTCCCCATGGGGGAGGGAAGAGGCCCCTTTCCTCCCTTCAGTGTACTGAGATCGGTCCTCAACGTTCACCCACCAGTCCACAGTTGTCACATCAACCCAAGACTGCTATTCCCCTCCAAGGACCTACACTTCATATGGGCACAGCTCTTGAGTCAAGAGTCTCCTCCACGCTCTGTCACCTGGCTCGGGCAGGGTCATGCTGCCTACAATCCAAGATTTTGTGCTTATGAACAACATTGGGACGACAGGTGCTCAGGACGCTGCTGTCCCTTTTTC